GGGCAAACCCTGAGAGTGGGGGTTCTCCTAAGTCCTTTTAGTTAATGACATGGAAGAGGAGTTGGGGTAGGGAGAGAATGCACCCCTCCTCCCCTCCTCCCTTCTTTACATAGCAGGTCTTCAGGACACAGCCTCCTTAACGTTAACTCGGTAAGTGCCTAAGTGCTGCGCTAGGAAGGGTTGGGGCAAGAGGCGGAGGGAATCCAAGGTGGGGAGGCTCTTCAGCTGCCATTAGCATCTCAAGGAGAGGCTGGGACAAGAGTCCAGATGTCAGCTTGCTCCTACCTGCATCCCTCGCCTCCTTGCAGGAAGTTTGAGTTTAATCCAAAGTTGGGCATTGATAATCCTGTCCTCTCTCTGGCTGAAGACTACGACCCCTCTGGTAACCCCTGGCCCTGGGCAACCGTTCCCTTTCCCCAGAGATACCACAGCTCCTCAGGGCCTCCCATCTCCTTGGTAACCACTCCACTCTGCCTCCCTCTGATAATAGCCTTGGTGGGGAGTAACTACGTGGAGGTAGGAGGGGGTTGGCTGTTTTCTTTTGTCCAAACCACTCTGCCCACATGGTATTTGGCCTCACTGCCCAACACCTAACTGGGTAGAAGCCTGCCGGGTGCCCTATCACCAGGGCAGGGTCGTCGGCCAGGCCAAGGTGACTTGTATGTGGGCCTTGTCCCCTCCCCTCCCCCTCTTCTGTTGCCCACCTCCCCCTCTAGATCTCTGGAGCCTGCAGCGGCCTCGTTTCTGTCTGCTGAGCAAAGAGGAAGGCAGGAGTTTTGGCTTCCACCTGCAGCAGGAGCTGGGCAGGGCTGGGCCTGTTGTGTGCAGAGTGGAGCCTGGCACCTCCGCCCAGCACCAGGGTCTTCAGGAAGGGGACCGGATCCTGGGGGTGAATGACCACGTCGTGGAATGTGAAGACTATGCTGTGGTGAGGTTGAGCTGGGGGCCTCCCTGTGGAATAGAAGGCCGTTCCATAGCACCTCAGGGAGAGAGAAGCCAGTCGGTCACCTCCCTGGATATACGGGGGCAGCACCCAAGCCTCAGCCTCCCCCACCTCCCAGGATCTAGGGCTGTCCAGGTGGGAATGGTTGGGTGAAGGCGTCCAGAAGGAGCCATTCACCCTGGCTCCCGGCGTGAAAAATGGAGGTTCCAGGGACTGGGAGTTGGCAGGAGGAGCTGGCCCCGACCTCATCCCCCACGCCCTCTGTTCAGGTGGTTCGCCGCATCCGGGCGAGCGGTCCTCGGGTGCTGCTGACGGTCTTGGCGAGGCACGTGCATGACGTGGCTCAAGCTCAGCAGGGCAACAGTGCCCACCTCTGTCCTCCTCTTGGCCCGCGGGTCCGGCCCCGACTATGCCACGTAGTGAAAGATGACAGTGGCTTTGGCTTCAGTGTCACCTACAGTGAGCTTAGAGGCCGGGGCGGGGCGGGGGGGGCAGGAGGGGGATCTCCGCCCTGTTCTGGGCAGCCAGTGGACCGAAACTTGCTTTTTTTGGCTTCCAGGCCATCAGGGTCCTTTCTGGCTGGTGCTGAGTCCCGGAGGAGCAGCGGAGCGGGCAGGGGTGCCCCCGGGGGCCCGGCTGCTAGAAGTGAATGGGGTCAGCGTGGAGAACTTCACTTACAGCCAACTCAGCAGAAAGGTATGGCTGTAAGTTTCCCTGTTCATCCTCACCCACCGGGGCCCCGGGGCTTTGCCTCAGGCAGCCGATTCCTCCCCCACGCACCTCATCTCCAAAGTTGACCTTGTACCTCCGGCCATCCTGCCCTTTACAGTTGGTCCTAGGCTCTGCTCTCCCCCACCCTTGCTGCCTCCTTTCTGGGGCCATGAGGAGGGCCTGCCCCTGCCTTCCCTACCCAGGTGCTTGATGCTGATGCCCCGCTGGGTCCCCACAGCTTTGGCAGAGTGGAGAGCAAGTGACCCTGCTGGTAGCAGGGCCAGAGGTGGAGGAACAGTGTCGCCAGCTGGGAATGCCCCTGGCTGCGCCCCTGGCAGAGGGCTGGGCGCTGCCCACCAGGCCCCGCTGTCTGCACCTAAAGAAAGGGCCCCAGGGCTTTGGGTTCCTGCTTCGTGAGGAGAAAGGTCTTGATGGTCGCCCTGGTGAGTGGGAGCCCCAGAGATGGGTCGGGAAGGTGCGGGCACACATGCGGTGCACAGAAGACCCCAGCCCTGAGCCTCCTCCTCTTCCTCCGGCGTCCCCCCACGCTCAGTCCCTTCGCGTGCCCACGGTGGCCTGGGCTGATGCTGGAGTTAGTTGCAGGAGGAGCGATGAGGATATTTATGTCCCAGGACAGTTCCTGTGGGAGGTGGACCCAGGACTACCAGCTGAGAAAGCCGGGATGCAGGCCGGGGACCGGCTGGTGGCTGTGGCTGAGGAAAGTGTGGAGGGGCTGGGCCATGAGGAGACGGTGTCCAGGATCCGGGCGCAGGGCTCCTGTGTCTCCCTCACTGTTGTCGACCCTAAGGCTGACCGCTTCTTCAGCATGGTGCGAATGAGGGGCGGGGGGGCGGGTGCTAGGGTGCGGGCAGGGATGGAGCAGGGCTCAGGTGGAGGGAGAAGCTACAGGTCCGTTCTGTCCGCCTCCTTCCAGGTTCGCTTGTCTCCACTTCTCTTCTTGGATAGCACGGAGGCTCCTGCCTCTCCCCAGGAAACCTGCTCAGCCTCTCTGGTTGAAACCAAGGACCTACCAGATGACGGGACAGCCACGCCTCCTGCCCCGGGCGGCTCCCACCAGTGCTCCCTGTATCCTGGGCCTGGCGGGGCCTATGGTTTCCGACTTAGCTGTGTGGCCAGTGAGCCTCGCATCTTCATCTCCCAGGTGACTTATGCCCCACGGACCTTGGATCTTTCCAACCGTTCGCCTCCTGATGAGTCTTCGTCTGCTTCCCGCCCAAGGTCTTAGAACATCCAGCAACTTTTCCATGGTATCCCATGTTCTGTCACCCCTCTCTTCGCCACCAGGTGACCCTAGGAGGCTCAGCGGCCCGGGCAGGGCTGCAAATGGGAGATGTGGTTCTGGAGGTGAACGGGTATCCCATGGGTGGAGAGAATGACCTGGAAAAGCTTCAGCAGCTGGCCGAGGCTGAGCCACCCCTCCACCTGAAGCTGGCAGCGAGGTCTTGCCCGGGCTCGGAAGCCTGCAACCCCCCCAGGTTTGGAGAGGTGAGGAAGAAGAGACAGATGGACCACCAGCAGCCAGAGAAGGATAGGGGGAGTCAGCGAGGAGGGCTACAGGGTGAAGCAGTGTGGGGCATGCGGATTGGGACGCTAGGCCATGGTAGGTGGGGACAGAGGGGCCCATGGAACTAGCTGCCATTCCTGGGCATTGCAGTGCAAGTGGGGGCCGGGAAAAGGAACTCTTATCGTCCTTGAATGACCTTCTCTCTTCTCAGGACTGGGCTCCAGTGTCAGAGCTGCTGTAGTCCTCTCCTACCTGCACAGATCTGCCCAGTGGCCTTCCTGTCTTCACTCTCCTGCTTGCAATGGTAGGAGCTGAGAAGCTCTCTTTAAGCCAGAAGGGACAGCTCTAGGATTCTGGACACCTCCAATCACAGGATTGCCCAGGGTCTCCCTCCCTTCCCTGGGGCCCGCCTCCCAGAAGAAGGTGTGGCCAGAGGCCTTAGGCAGGCCCACTAGGGGGCTGGGGGGGGCGGGGGTTGTCCTCTGGTTCCAGAGGGAGTCCTATGGGAGCTTTGGGAGTTGTGTTCGCATGGATGAGTGGTGTGATTTTGTGATTTATAATAAATTATACTCTTTCCGGCACAGAGCTCCTAAAACCCTTGGAATTTCCTAAGTAGTGAGAGTGATAAAGATGTCTTCTTTTATTCATAACAAGCCCCTTTCAGCCACACCTAACTTTGTTAAGGAAGTGACTTTTGGAAAGCACCTAAGGATGGGGGACTGGTAGCCAGGGGATCCAACCATGTGATTAGCGGGTTGGAACTTTCAGCCCCACGCCGGACCTCCTGGGAGGGGAGAAGAAGTGCTGGAGGTTGAATCACTCACCAATGACCAATAGTGTCATTGGTCATGGCTCCATAGTGAAGCCTCCATGAAAAACCAAAAGGATGAAGTTCTGAGAGCTTCCCGGTTGCTCATTGCGCAGAGGTGCTGGGAGGGTGGTGCCCCCGAAGAGAGCATGGAGCTTGCGAGCTCGTGCCTTGCCCACGGCATACTTGCCACCTGGCTCCTCCTGAGTCGTGTCCTTCATAATAAACTGGTAAACCAGCGAGTAAACAGTCTCTCTGAGTTCCGTGAGTCACTCTAGCAAATGATGGAACCCGAGGAGGGGGTCGTGGGAACCTTTGTTTTTCGGCCAGTGGGTCAGAAGCCCAGGTGACAAGCTGGCGCTTGAAGTGGGGACAGTCTTGTGGGACTGAGCCCGTGGCCTGTGGGATCGGATGCTCTCTGCACATCAGTAGTGCCAGAATTGAGTTAAATTGTAAGATCCCCAGCTGGTGTCCACAGAGCTGTTAGAGAATTGCTTGGTGGGGGAACCTGTCCACACACACACACACACACACACACACACACGTGACTGGAAGTGAAGTAGTACTGGGAGTGGTGTCATAAAATAGAGGAGGAACACAGCGTTTTCCCTTTATAGGTGGGCTGTGGGGCTGGCTAGGATTGTTCCAGATGGAACTTGCCCTAGGCATGACTCCTGGACTCTCACATATATTGCAAGAATTTGGAGACCAGTTACGCCTTCCCTCTGTAAGCACCTTAGGATTGTGGGGGCTGGTGCCTGGTCACTATTGGTCTATTATAGAAATGGCCTTGCCCCCCACACATCAGGCTGCCTCTGTTGGTGGGGGGAAGGGGGATAGGAGATGGTGATTTGAAGGGACCAGAAGGGCCCCAGACTCAAGGCATGGGGCCCAGTTTCTCTAAGAGAGGAGTTGAGAGTTTGTCAAATTTCTCTCCTCTCCTTCGGTCTTCAGGGTAGTGGGTCAGTCCAGAACCAACGTGCCCCCAAAAGGAGACACTCATATCTGCCAAAAAGCCACAGACCACAGTTCTGTTGAGTTCTACATCAAGATAGCTTTATTGCTGGAGCCTCCAAGGGCCCCAGACATTAGTGGCTTACAGCTTCAGAGATCCAGGGGGTTGAGTCCAAACTGGTGGAGCTGCTCCTTGTACTTGGCGTGAAGTCTCAGCACAGCCCCGTCCCACTGAGGCTTGACAGCTCTCAGCTTGGCCAAGAGTCGGTCCAGGCTGCCCTGCAGACACCAAGGTTCAGGCCCCAGGAAGGGAGAGGGTAGAATGAGGGGTGCCCCAGGCTGGTCTGTAAGCTTTCCTCGCCGGTGACGTCTTCAAGTTCTTACTCTTAGTAAGTAGGCATGATTGTAGTCCCCTGGCTGTCTGCCCTCAAGACAGAGCAGGGTTCCCTGTGGGGATGCTGCTTCTCCTTCCCCCTGGTCTGTCATTAATGACAATGACAGCATGGACTAGTTGGGGCCTGGGGGATGGGGGAGTGCCAGGTACCGGGGTGGTTGGGCTTCCAACAGTGTGGCTTACATGTAAGATTTCCTCATACTTGGCCTCCATGTCTGCCACGTGGGCCCGAAGCTGAGCCAGAGTCTGGTCCCGCTCTCCGAGGGCCTGCTCAGCCTCTTGCCGTGCAGCCTCGGCCTCCCTCTGGCACGTCTCTGCAGGGCAAGGCGGAAGGATGAAGGGGACTGCATAGTGAGACTCTACCTGTAAACAGAGTCTCCAAAGGCACCTAAAAAGCAGAACTTGAATGGGATCATTCCAGACTCCCCCCAGGATCATCAGTTTCCCCACAGCCCGTGTAAGGAGCTGACGTACAGCGTTAAGGTACAGCAGAGAGAGCAGTGGACTTGGGACAGGGATGTGGTCCAAAGTCTGGTTGTCACTTACTCCCTGTGTAACCTCGGACATGCCTCTCTCTGAGACACAGTTTCTTCATCTTTAAAGACAGACTGATACAAACCTTATAGGCTTACCGTGAGTTAAATGTGAGAATGTATGGGAAAATACCTAGTATTTACAGGAGGTGTTCCATAAATGCTGATTGAGTTTAAATTTGAGATAAGGCAAGGATTAGGAAAGGAATTCAGGGTCTGCCTGGCAGATAAACAATTCTTGGGTATCTGTAGCTAAACTGAGGCTATTTTAGGGACGCCTGGCTGACTTAGTTGGTAGAGCCTGAGACCCTTGATCTCAGGTTCATGAATTCGAGCCCCACGTTGGGCGTGGCACCTAGTAAAAAAAAGAAAGAAAGAAAGAAAGAAACTGAGGCTATTTTAGGTTAAGAAAACTTTGAGACTGGGCGCCTGGGTGGCTCAGTTGGCTGGGCAACTGCCTTTGGCTCGGGTCATGATCCCAGAGTCCTGGGATCAAGTCCCACATCGGATTCCCGGCTCGATGGGGAGCCTGCTTCTCCCTCTGACCCTCTCCCCTCTCATGCTGTTTCTCTCTCTCTCTCTCTCAAATAAATAAATAAAATCTTAAAAAAAAAAAAGAAAGAAAACTTTGAGACCACAATTGTGAAAGATCTTATGTCCCATGCTAAGATAGTTCAACTCTATTCCTTAACCAAGAGAGAAAGGAAAAACTTCCTGTTCTTTACATTTTTGCTTATCTGCAAGGGTCATTCCTTTATTTAGCAATAATTATGTAGGACTTGGCATGCACTTGGCATTGAAGATACAAAAGTAAATAAGTCACATATCTTTCCTTAGTTTCATTGTAAAAATCAGCTAGGAGGGAATATATTTCGCTTGTGACAGACATGGCAGGGGTAGGGAGAAAGATCTGGATTTGGAGAGACCATCAAGAGAGGGAGATGGGGTGAGAGACTCAGGTCTGCTTTAGTTACAACGTAGGGATTTTTGCCATCTTGAACCCTCTGCTCCAATCCTCCATGGTGGGACAGTCAGTGGGGAAAATGGTCCAAGAGCCTAGACTGCAGTCTTCTAGAGAAGGACCATCTTCAGTCCACCCCTGCAGGCTGGACCTTGTCAGTGCACTGGAGAGAAAGGGCTTAGGGGGGTGGGGAAGCCTACCCAGCTGCTCCCGAAGGCCCGTCACTTCTTCCTCCAGCTTCCTGCTGTGGATCTCCATTTCCTTCTGCAGGGCCCGGCACTGACGACTCATCTCTGTGGTGGGGGCAGAGGGTGACCAGAGACCCGGGTGTGGATGGAGCAGTGGAGAAATGAAGGGTAGTTGTGGGTGGGGAAGGGCCTGCTTGGCCCAATGGGACAGGAGCATAGAGACCTTCCCAGTTCTCGAAATTCCCAGAAGCTGACAGAGCCTGAACACCTGGGGAAGAGCTAGGAAACCACACCCCTTCCCCCATTCCAGCTCAGGACCTGGATTCTAGCTCTTCTCCTCACTCATTCCCAAGGCACAAATGAGACAAAAGCCATGTCATTTTTTGTAATCCACATAGCTGGAGGTAATCCAAAAAGCACATGGCATCGGGCATCCTGGAAGGTTCCTGCCCGGGATCCAAGAGACCTTCCTTGGGTTCCTTTAGGCCCCTGCCTGATTCATGCTGAGCCAGGAAGGTTGGGGCTAGGCAGGGCAGATGGAAGTCCTCCTCGGTTCCCTTCCTTGCATCCTCTGGCCCTCTTGATTGTCCTCTTCCAGGCCCCTGTCTCCTGCCCACATGCCTGACCAACCACACACCTGCATAGATGGCCTTCGTCTCACTTCGGGCCTCCTCCAACTCAGCCTCCAGCACTTGCAGCCTCTGCCTCAGCTGCTCTTCAGAAGCTTTGGCCCGGCGGGCCTCATCCCTCCGAAGAGCTGTGAAAAGTCCCAGAGCAGTCCTCACACCTGGCTGGGGATCCCACTGAATCAGGCCCTGTGGGCTTAATAGACTCTGCCCACCTCTGGGAACCTGGTGGCAGATCTCCAGCCTCTCATTCTCTCTCTGGGTTGGCTGGTTGGTTGGATGGTTTTTCCCCTAGAATCCCATGAGCTCTTCATTGCTAGGAAGGAAGAGCTCCATGTTCTGCTTATAAAAAATAGCTATCCTCGGGCGCCTGGGTGGCTCAGATGGTTAAGCGTCTGCCTTCGGCTCAGGTCATGATCCCAGGGTCCTGGGATCAAGTCCCGCATCGGGCTCTCTGCTCCTTGGGAGCCTGCTTCTCCCTCTGCCTCTCTCTGTCTCTCATGAATAAAGAAATAAAATCTTAAAAAAAAAAAAAAAAAAAAAGCTATCCTCACCCACCCTCACTGCCCACCCCTTCCTTTCTCCACCAGGGGATGGAGGACAGGTCAGCTCAGCCTCCTGCCACAGCTCCAACTGTCCAAGCCTCCAGGATGCAAAATGCCGCATTGCCCCACCTCTGTTGTCCCAGAGCTTCCACCCTTCTTACCCAAGTGGTCTCGGAGCAGCTCCTTCTCCAGCACTGTCCGCCTGTGCGTGGACTTGGCCTCCACATCTGCCCTGGCAAGTTGACAAAGCCTCAGCTTGTCATGATCTCAGCCTTCCTCATGTCTCCCCATCCTCAGCCCACACCCTGGACTTTCTTCCTGCAGTTCCGAGGGCCTCTAAATGAGGGATCTCTGATGGCAATCTACTGAGTTCACCCCTGTGTCCCGGCTGCCCAGCACAGAGTAGGTACACGGAATATGGGTGATGAATATATCAAGGAAGGCACAGAGCCAGAAGGGCATCACGGAGTGGGTGCATGCTGATTTCCCCAATTTCCCAGCTCCATGGGAACTGGAGGAGGGGGGTGAGTCATGAAAGCTCCATCTTGTCATGCAGAGGGCTGCATTCTCTCTGGAGCAACTCTACTTGGTCTCCAGGCCAGAGCATGGAGAAGCAGGAGGCACTCACCTCCAGCCGCCCTGACTCACCAGCACCCGCATTCTGTTTCTTCTTCTGTACCCCAGTTTTCTTCCCTTTTTCTTTGGTCTTGGGTGGCATCTCCTTGCTGTCCTGGGGAGAGAAAGGACTCATATTTATGCCCTGGGCACAGGGCTCCTTTCCTGACCCCTAGATTGAACCAGGAGTCCCAGGAGAGTTAGAGTTCTAGTCTCCAAGTCTGTCTCTTCTACTTTCCAGAAGCTTCCATTCTTGGTCTCCTTGGAACCTTAGGCAAGGCTGGGATGTGGGGAGGGTGGAGCTGTTTCTTTCTACCAGTCACGTTCTGTGGGCAGAAATCATTCCTCTCAATCCTCTTTTGGAGAAAATATATCTCAGTACTTGTTCCTTCCCTCTTCCCATCATCCTTACCCTGCCTCTTCCTACCTGCGGGATCCTCTCTGGCCTCTGTTGTGTCTCCCTGTGGGGAGGACCCACTGATGGGGAGGGGCAGAGAAAAGGCCCAACCAGCTGGGAGCCCGAGGAGGAGCCTGGGTTCTGGGAGCCAATCCAGGGTGACAAATTTCCTTCGAGGGCAGAACTGGGAACTGCACGGTTGGGTTTCTGGAGACCGAATGTTGCCCAGGTAACTGGGAAACATGGAGCTCACAGACAGGTGGAATGTGCCAAGTACAAAGCTTAAAATAGCAAGGTCCTGGAGGGTCGCTTCTCTCCTTATCCCTAAATCCTAAATGTAGTTTGAGGAGAAAGGGCTTCAGAGCCGGTTAGTTATGCTTCATTTCCATGTAGCAGTGCCTGAAGTTTGGAGACTTACAAATTACAGATTTACACATCTGATACGATGCTGTGGTGCTGATACAGAGGAAAAGCGCTGACAGGAGCCATTTTAGGCGATTTACATCCCTAGGGCTCGTGAGCGAGCACATGACATTATTAGGCTTTGGGAAGGCATTCTATCGTGTATGAGGGAAAGAAGTGCAGGAGAAGGTAGCCGAGAGAGTTTCTCACTTCAGAGAAAGGAGACACAGAGGAGAGGTAGACCCAAGGACTCCAGGGTGCTGACATAGAGGGAGGCAAATGTAGAAGAAAGGATATTGGTTAGAGACAAGAGCCCTGAGTTCTAATACCCCCTTCGGTTATGCAACCTTGGGCAAGGCATTTAATTTTGTGCAACCTCAGTTTCCTGGTCTTTAAGTCTTTGACTCTGTAAATCCTGAAAGGCCTGGATTTTCACTGGGTATTCACAGGGCTCTCTTCCCTTGTGGGGACTTAATTTATTGCCTCTCTTCCCCTATTCCCTGATGTGGCTGATTTTCAGCCTGGTGCCGAGAAACTACTTTGCTAGGCTCCCCTCAGTATTGAGTTGGTCGGAGCTCCCTCTAGTGGACTTGCTTGACCTCAGGAGTCTCCTTAATTTTTCTACTTAAATTCTTGGGCCTTGTCTGGGGGGGCGCCTCCCTCTCGGGGATACTTCCTACCATCTTGAGGGGGTCATGAGTGGTTGGAAAAACAAATTTGGGGAAGGGAGTATGATGGGTGGACTTGTCCTTGTCCCCACCCTTCTTCCAGCCCTGTGCCATTCTGGAGACTTGTCATCGGTCTGCCACCTGGATCTCTGGGCACCATACTGGCTAGAATGAAAACAGCAAAAATGTCAGGGATTTTCCTCTTGTGGATCAAGGAACCTGCAGACTCTTTAGATGTTTCTCTCTATCTCTGTCCCCCTCAACACTTTTGGCCAATTGCCTGTTGTCAGGAGCAGATCTGAAGAAATAGCTTTGAGATCTGGGATTTAAAAATCCTTCCTCTGGGGAGTGGACAGATTCAGGTGGGGGCTGATTCATGTTTATTTGTCACCTTTGTGGCTGCAGGGTACTTCTCTGACCCTTCAGACATTTTACAGAGTAAAGAGAAGAACCAGGCTTGCCTTTTCCGGGGCTTATAGTTCTTGTACCCCAGGGTCAGATAACTTTGTGCACAACTCCCAAATCTGGAGAATACTTTTCTTCTCATGTTGAAGTTTGTTTTTCCTTCATTCTCCCTCCAGAACTCTTTGCCCCTGCATAGGAATGCAGTAGACGTTCCTGCCGCAGTCCTTCTCCTCATCTAGAAGCCTGTTTGGGGTCATTTTCCAGGGAATGATTAGTTTCTGCGTTACGCTGATGCATGGGATGACATTTTGAGGACATGGCTTACTGAATACAAACAACATATCATGCCTCAGAAAAGCATTTACTTTTCAAATATGTTCAGTCAACCGACTTTCAGGTGCAGAATGAGGATGTGGTTTGGGTGAAGGTGAAATGGAATAAGAAAAGTGCCCCATATCACATGATGTGATGATACAAACTGAGCCAGCTCTAGAACAAGCCAAGAATGCGAATGACATTGTGATCAACAATCCAGTCCCATCTTTAGTATACGTTGAAAACAAGCCAAGTAAAAATTGTGTGTGTGTGGGGGAAAAGTCAATCTTTCCTTCTTTTTTCATTAACTTCATTTTAGAAATGAAAATGGGAAAGATCATCTCAGCAGAACTCTGTCTTCCTTTGAATAGGATCCCATCTGGGAGTTTTGAAGAGATATAGAGGAGAGAACTGTCACTCTCTCTGCTTTATTCGAATGTGAGAGATAGGTCATTTGTATATTTAAAGAAATATGGCTTTTTCTCTTTTACAGGGCACCTGAGCGGCACAGTCAGTTAAGCAACTAACTCTGGATTTTGGCTCAGGTCCTGACCTCAGGGTAGTGAGACAGAGCCCCACCCTTGGGCTCCGTACTCCGAGGTCGCAGTCGCTTGAGATTTTCTGCCTGCACCGCCCCCCCCCCCCGGCCCCGTTTGCGTGTGTCCCGCGCGCGCATACGCATGCTGTCTCGCTAATAAATCAATCTTAAAAAAAAATTACGGCTTCTCTTTTTTTTTTCTTTTTAGAGAGGGGGGAGGAGCAGAGAGAGAGAATCTTAAGCAGGCTCCACACCCAGTGCAAGCCCAATGCAGGGCTCGACCTCATGACCCTGAGATCATGACCTGACCTGAAATCAAGAGTCAGAGGCTCCCAGGAGCCCCAAGAAATATGGCTTCTGCAAGCAGAAACAAAGTACAAATTATACCATTACATTCTATCCAGGTGGTACTGAAGATAATACAAATTGGAAGCCTTTACAGGAAGCCAGAGATGCGATCATGACCCAGACGAACCCATATAGGCCCAAGGGTTAATTTCTTGCCTGTATTCCATTAAATCTGGGTTTGATGATGAGGGGGAAAAATACCCTGTGTACTTACACTATGTTACGTACTGTGGAAGACCAAAGTCGAGACAGCATAGCACAAATTAATGTGAGGTAGCTGTGAGAATAAATGGTTATGGAAATTTAGAGGAGGAAAGGATTATTTCTAGCTGGAATGTCTGGTAAGAAAGAAAATATTTGAATTGAGTTCTGAAGAATGGACTGGACTTCAGTAGCACGCTTTAGGCAGAGGGAACGCTCTCAGCAATGGTGATGAAAAAAAGAAAGAGTTGTGGTATTTTGTGACTTGGGAGTCACCCAGCATAGGATATACGTATTGGAACAGTATAAAACTGCAAGGTAGTTTGGAGTTAGATCATGACTGTTAACTTTATCCAGGAGACAATCAGCAGTGTTTGAAGTTTTTTTCTGATGCGATCAGAGCTATACTTCAGGAAGACTGGTCTAGTGGCAGAGTGGATTGGAGGTGGCAGGGAAACCAGTGAGGAAAAGGTTTCAATAAATAGATCAGGGGAGAGAAAGGGAGGGCCTGCAACCAGGGTGGTAGATGGGAAGTTTTGACAATTATCTAAGAGGCTGGCCTAGGTTTTCCCTTGGGAGATGTCTTCTCTTTCTAGGTAGGAACTGATTAAAGGAAATTCTATTGATAGGAAATGATAATGTTGACTCCATAATCAATCTTAGGTAAAGGCCATGCTCAAGGATGTCTGGCTGATGGGTCCTTGAGTTCAGATTTTTTTTTTTCTCTTGTGACAGGAGCCCGCGATGAACTTAACTCCTTTATCAGTCAAGGGCTTTGTGGAAGACCCAGGTAGGGGATCTAAGACGGAACCGAGTACTTACAGGCACACTAGAGCCTGCAAGCTCCCAAAGAGGAGGCTCAGAATTAGCAAATAAGGGCAGGGCACTTCCTTCTTTAGGAAGAAAGTTCCCTTTTTTCAAAGTTTTCCCAGCAGAACTTTTAGATTAGAGAAGTGGAAATGACTGGCAACTGCATTTCTCTTCCATGAGAGGAGCGAGTACTCCTCTGGCCAGAGCTCACAGCTGTCTCACAGCTTCTGTGGTCAAGGCCTGGTGCTGGCGGTGCAGACCTGCGGCGCAATGCGTGGAGCCCACTGCGCTGAGCTGCGGAATCTTAAGTACATACTCAATTCCCAGAAAAAGGAACTAGTGTTCAGAAGCCAAAAAAGGGGGAAGTGTTTTGTTTTCATAAGGTCAAAGGGCCTGGAAGAAGAGCTTGCGGCCTGAGCGTCTCAAGCCTTTCTGGGCTGTAATCAGGCTTGAACAATCCGCAGCAGTCACATTCCTGTTCTTGGCGCCTACTTAATGAGTTCAAAACACCAAGGGGTGGGGAAAGAACTTCCGTTTTTCTCCCACAATGTGAAGAAGCAAATGGCTTTAAGCTCAATTTCCTCATCTGTCAAGTATGGGGGAAAGACTTGACGTTGAGGTTCTTTCCACGGCTACTTGTCTTCGCTTAAATATCCCAGTAACCTCCTCAAAGAACGCCAACCTTACAGCCCACAAGGAACATGGAGGGCTCGGCTTCTGTCTCGTGCGCAGACTCCATGCCAGGCCCCGCCCCCTCCCTTTCCCGGCTTCTCCAGCAGAGGGCGCAGACGCAAAAGTGCCGCCTGGGCCCGCCCCCGGGGGCAGGGGAGGGGTAGGCGGCGCGGAAACTTGGCCGCGGCTTTCCGGGAGCTGTGGCTCGGGAGGGGGTGGCGCAGGAGCGGTCGCTACCCAGTCCGGACCAGGCCGCTGGCTTCCCCGAGCTCCGCGCGCTCCTCCAGCCCCCGGGCTCGCGCGCTCGGAAGGGGCGCGCCCGCGCGGACCCGCGCTCCCGTCGCCGCCCACTCCCCTCCCCGCGGCCGCCCCTCCCTCCGCCCGGACCGCCGGCAGCGGCGGCGGCGGCGGCGGCGGCGGCGGCCGGGAGAGGCCCCTCCTTCACGCCCTCCCTTCTTTTCCTCGCTCGCAGCGGAGCGGAGCCGGCGGACGCGGCTCAGCCTCCAACCCTCCCCGGGCCATGGCCGGCAACGTGAAAAAGAGCTCCGGGGCCGGGGGCGGCGGCGGCTCCGGGGGCTCGGGCGGCCTGATCGGGCTCATGAAGGACGCCTTCCAGCCGCACCACCACCACCACCACCTCAGCCCCCACCCGCCCGGCACCGTGGACAAGAAGATGGTGGAGAAGTGCTGGAAGCTCATGGACAAGGTGAAAGGCCTGCCCGGGACCCGCGGGAGCAGGGGTGGGCGTGGGCGGAGGGGCCGAGGCAGGGGAAGGAAGGGACAGAGGAAGCTGGGGGAGGGGACGGGTCATGCGGGGCTTGGGGAGGCGAGGAGCTGGGGTGACCCGGCCGAGAGGGTGGGGGCCGTGGGGGTGGGGAAGAGACCGGGAAGGTGGGGGTCGGCGGTGGGGGAAGGGCTGCGGTTGGGAGTGGGGAACGTTGAAGTGGTGTGTTTGGGGTAGCGAGACAAAGATGGGGTGGGGGCTGGGGTGAAGGTTAACTGGGAAGCCGCCGGGGCGGAAGTATAATGGGGGGGTGCGGAGTTTGGGGCTCTGCAGGGTCTAGGGATGTGGGTCACGACATTGGCCCCAGGAGGTAGGAGGGAGGGGGAGGGCGAGGAAGAGTGTGCAGTTTACCGGCTGGGGTTGTTAGCTGGATGAGGAGTCGAGCCCTGAGTCGGGAGTTAACGTTTATGGGCTCCGATTGAGAGACCTGGGGTCAGGACAGCTCTGCAGGCAAACTGCGCTCGCGGCGAGCGC